GTAGTCCCTACTCGAGGGAAATCGGTAACGGTATGCTAGTTCTACCTTCCCACTAGCGAGGACTATGATAGTAATCTGTAATTACAAGGTGCAACAGGTCTAACGAACCCGCCGTTAGCTACGGGATCCTTCAATGTCTACTCCCATTTATACTTGTCTCTGTAATCCGTATATACTCGTAGAAACTATTCTAAAACAATATAGGGCATTTCGGTTCTTATCAAATCATATAATTTTCTTTCGATAACAGTAAATTCAAGCAACAGTCAAACAGATCTAGTGACAACGAAAGTATTTAAAACCACGGTATTCATCTCAAATAACTATTTCGGTATCATATCGAGTAAAAGACTTGTCCCACATGCAACTCAAAATAATCGGTAACATATTCATATTAAAAATCATGTGTAAATCATGCAAGTTATGAAAACATAAATTGTGGTAAGATTACTACTCATTGTACTCATGCCGAAATACCAAATGTTTCACCTCGAGCAATTCGTACAATTCCTCCAATCAATCTATAATTACATAATATCAGAGCAATTCGTACAAATTCCTCCAATCAATCTATAATTACATAATATCAATCTCATGTTAATTTCCTCGTTTAGGATAATTCATAGCTATTTAGAATACCCAACCATCAGGGTTCATGTTTGGATCTTAATTTGTGGATTTATATTTACCCTCATATGAGTAATTACTAATTTATCAACTCCAACCTATTCATATAATTTATTACTCCAAATTTCATAAAATTCTATTGGTTCTTTAGGAAGAAAATTCTCAATTGTGTGAACGAACTAGTGTAATTTCTATTACTCTGTAGAATCTTCCAATCAAGAGAATCGAAATTAAAATCCACCAGAAGAAAAAGTTCAAGTAATACCCGTAAGAGACAATTTGTGCTTAAGATTCCTCAACAGTTATAGCTATGGCTCCAATACGCTGCACCCACTTCTTCCTCCTTCTTTTCTCTTTTCCTTCTTTCTTCCTTTGCTCTTTTTCTTTTCGTTTTTTTTACGCTGTTTCGAAGCTTTCTGCTTTGTTTCCTTCAGAAGCAATTTGCTTCTAACCCTTTTCACCTTTTATTGGCAGATGTGCCAATGGGCTTTGGCCCTTTGGTTTAAATTCTTATCTTTTTTTTTAGTTAGCTGATTTTTTCTTTCTTTCTTTTTTTTTAAAAGAAAACTTAAATTATTTACTAAATACCCCATATGACCTCTTTTAAAATAGTGGGGTATTACATAATATTTTGTTGGCCCATCAGAAATGATCTAATGAACAATAGTCACTGATTTTCCATGACTGTTCCTCATTATTTGACATTTTAGGGGCATAAAATAAGAATTTAGTATAATTTTTTATTATTCGTGTGCTAGTTCACGCCATCTTCATGAATTCGGGAGACCAACCCTGAATCGCCTAAAATATGGTAGGCCCATTAGAAACAATATGAATAATATCCATTGCTTTTCTATGATTGTTCCTCATTTTTTGGCGCTTTAGGTTAGTAAAATAGAAGTTTAGCACGATTTTCAAATTTTTTCGTGTACTAATGTCCGCACCATCTCATGAATTAGGGCGACTAGCTCCCAATCGTCTAAAATTTTGTGAGTCTATCAGAAATGACCTAATGAATAATAGTCGTTGCTTCTCCATGATCGTTCCTCATTTTTTGGCGTTGTAGGGCCATAAAATAGGAATTCAACACGATTTCCAATTTTTCATTTGCTAATGTCCACGTCATCTTCATGAATTCAAGAGATCGGTCCTAAAATCGTCTAAATTTTGTGGGCCCATTAAAAACGATTTAATGAACAATAGTCATTATTTTTTCATGATCATTCCTCATTTTTGGCATTTTAGGTTCATAAAACATTAGTTTAGCACGATTTTCAATTTTGCGTGTGCTAATGTCCATGCAATCTTCATGAATTCGGGCGACTGACCCCGAAACGCCTAAAATTTTGTGAGCCTATTAGAAATGACCTAATGAACAATAGTCATGTCTTCACCATGAAATTTCCTCATTTTTTGACGTTTTAGGGCTATAAAATAGGAATTCAACATGATTTCCAACTTTTCATGTGCTAACATCCACGTTATCTTCATGAATTTGGTCGGCCATCCTAAAATTTTGCGGGCCCATCAGAAATGACCTAATGATCAATAGTCATTGCTATTCTATAATCTTTCCACATTTATTGGCGTTATAGGGCCATAAAACAAAAATTCAGCACAATTTTTAATTTTTCGTATGCTAATATCTACATTATCTTCATAAATTCGGGAGGCTAGCCCTGAATCGTTTAAAAATTTAGTGGGTGCATTAGAAGTGACTTAATGAACCATAGTCATTCTTCTTTATGACTGTTCCTCATTTTTTTGGTATTTTAGTGTCATAAAACAGGAATTCAACACGATTTTTGACTTTTCGTATGCTAATGTCCATGCCATTTTCACGAATTCTGGTGACCGACTCCGAATAGCCTAAAATTTGGTGGGTCCATCAGAAACGACCTAATGAACCATAATCATTTATTCTTCATGAGCGATCCTTGTTTTTGGTGTTTTAGGGCCATAAAACAGGTATTCAACACGATTTCTGATTTTTTGTGTGCTAATGTCTACGCCATCTTCATGAATTCGGGCGACCGGCTCCGAATCACCTTAACTTTTATGGGCCCATCACAAATGATCTAATGAATCATAACAATTAATTCTTCATGACCTTTCCTCATTTCTTTAATATTTTAGGGCCATAATATAGAAATTCAGCACGATTTCGATTTTTCATGTGTTGTCTATGCCATCTTCATGAAATCGGGAAACCGGCCCTAAATCGCCTAAAATTTTGTGGGCCCATCAGAAACAATCTAATGAACAATAATCATTGCTTCTCTATGACCGTTCTTAATAGTTTTGCATTTTAAGGCAATAAAACAGGAATGTTGCACGATTTTCGATTTTGTATGTGGTAGTTAATTTGTAGAAGATGAATTTTCATGAAGCACTACTGTTTAGAGCCTAATTACTATACGCAATAATAATTTGCCTAATTACCATTCCTAGCTACTATTCAATTGTTACTAGATTATATCACTTGTATTCAGACGCGCAACGAATATATCCTATGTCAATTGTATTCGCTCGCGCAATGATATTCATTGTGCTCGTTCGTGCAACGAATACAACCAAGTCAAAATAAAAGAGTGTATACAAAGGATACAATATGTATCGACTGTATTCGTTCGCTCAACGAATACAACCAACGGGAAATACAGAAATACAGAAAAATAGAATGCTCTCATTGAGAATCGAACTTAAGACCTCCGCTTACTATGCAGGTGCTCTAACGAACTAGCTACGAGAGTTTGTTGTTCTTTTATTTCAGTTCAAAATAATTGATCTCTTGTTTCAATACTATAGGTGAATTTTCTATAAAATTCAAATATAGCTACGAATGATAATTTTCTAAAAGCATAGTTACGAATGATAAATACAAAGCATATATTTGTTGTGTAGCGCAATTTTTCCTTTTTAATAATGAGTAAGCAAGAAGGATTGATTATAGAGACCCTTAATTTTAGTACTCATTATGGATACATGAAGCATTATTTTCGTGAATATATCAAGAATTAATGTCAAAAATTATTTTCATGAATAAATCATCATGTGCTAAAAAGAAATTTCATGACATATCCCAAGATTATTTTGACTTTCCAATATTTCGGTATAATTACCATCTAAAATTACGTTCATCTTTCACGCATAAGAATAGTGGACATATATTAATAATGAAAAATACTTATGTTTAATTAAATTTAAAAATTGATAAATTTATTAAAGAGGGAAAAGAACGATGCTGTTGGAAAGGAGATATACTCAATCCCAGCAATAGATTTGGCGGGTTCAATCCTGCACACAATTCCCCCAAGAAAAGTTATTTATTTCTTTTTCTTTTAAAGGTATACCATTAATACAGACTAAACAAAAAAGCAATCTTAGCCTTTGAGTACTTTTCTCTGCACTCTGAGTACCATCAGCAAAGCCTAATAAGGAATTTGCTAAGTGTGTTGGTATGTGCTTGTTTGTTACTCCCCGGATCCACTTTAATTAATTTTTTTTTTTTTGTGATCCATAATATTTGATTTTTTTATGTCAAGAAGGAATTAACTACTTTTTTCCAAAGTTGCCTTTGGAATAGCGAGACTAGGAATATTTATTGTATTTCCAATAAACTACCTAAGGTTAATATGATCAATTTCATTGTTAATTAATGCTAAAATATGGATTCCTTAATATGTGCAGGCCTTTGTTGGGATGTCTTTCATCAAACAAAAGAGGGGCAGTAAATGGAATAGTTCATAAAAGAAATCAAAGAAAGGTCCACGACAAAGCTGTCCGCTCTCTCCATATATCTCTACTTGCCGGCGGGGTGTAGATAACACTATAATAATAATAAAGCGTGATAGAGATATTGTTCATTCAGAATTGATTCAAATGGCAAGAACCCACGGAAAAATTCATCTTATTCATGCTCCGCACAATAACTTGCCCGGTCAATATTATTTGTCTATGCTAAACTTGGTGATCTATTTTCATTGCCATGAAAACAGCCATAAAATCCATTAAAATGGACAAGTATGTTTGTATGTGTGTAAAAGAATAGTAGTATTTGATCTATATGCATCGCATATTTTTGTCTGCGAAGGGTTCAATTGACCACTTGAACACCCTTCGTCGGTTGTAGCTCGCACATCTAGCATAATACTGAGGGAGAGAAATAACAGACCTAGCCGCAAAAATCAAGTCAAAAGATAGGCAACACTGATTACTGATGTTTAGACTAGTTTCACCAAATGATACGCCTAACAAAGGATGCAGGATATTCAAAAATGCATTACTTTTAGAGGATCCGACACGCACATGCCGCCATTGTTGAAGAGTCCGAGCAACACAGATAAGTAGTATCTCAGAAATGACGATAATAGTGAGGACATCATAAGGGCTATTTTCTAAAGCGTAGACTAGTGTTTTTTTACCAAATGATACACGCCTGCAGAAAACGATGCACGATAAGTTCTTTCAACATAGATGCAAATTGAAAGGAAAGAATCATAACAAGGCATTTGACAATAAGTTGTATCTCACGAATGATAAGAATAGTGAGGTATAATTAAGTTCAAGATTTGGTCCCAAGAAGCCATTTTGAGTAATGCAGGTTCAAACACTTATAAGACGATCACGGGAAACAAGCCTCTCTGCAGGTATTTTCATCACGTCCCTGCGGACTCCAATATCAGAAAAAAATTGGTTAGCACAGTAAAATCCCCAACCAACGACTGCAAGACCACTCGTAGGCATAAGGCGAACTGGTGATGAAGCCAACGCGCTAGCTGCTGCAGCCAATGACGCTGCCTGACCACTGCGCCCTATCCCCACATTTCTCAGGAGCAGATAACCCGTCTTGCAGTAGATTGCAAAATCCTCGCAGTTGTTCTTGAAAAGGTTGTAGTTTCCAAAACCGTTACCAAGAAGAATTTCAGCGCGGAGGATGACATCCTCATGAGAATCAGAACGAGCAAAGGTGCACGTTCCTCTCACTTGGGCAAGAAAGAAACCTGGTGATACACCATATTGAAAACGATATAGTTTACCACCAGAGAGGAAGCATTCAAGGCATGAAGATATGACTCCATCACTCCTTGGTCGATCACCACATGTTGGACATGGGGATACAGGGCGACGAGAGGGAGATGAGCTAAAGATGTAACGATCGAGGACTGTTCCTGTTCCTATCTCCTGACCAGCTGCCGGGGTGAAATGGATCACGTTTCCATCATTAACATATATTCCTGATATTGAAAAGAGGATATGTCAGTTAATTCAGGGGAATATACCACACGTGCTTGTTAAATAGCGAATCACCTCATCTAAAAGTTAAATTGTTAGAGAGAATATACTTTTACTTGCGACATTGCTCATCAACAGACAAACATTAGCAAAATCGCATGAAGACACAAGTATTGGAAACTAGAGATAGCAGAGGTGGATTTAGGATTTTTACACCACTAAAGAAAAGAGAAAAAAGAAGTATTAAGTGGGAATCGATCCCTACTCCTCTAGGTAAAAAACCTCAACATTAACCAACTACACCATTTAGCATCTTTTGAGTATATGACTGCCAGCAGATAATATTAGATCAATTGTAGAAGATATGTATTTAATACCTAGTTTTCCCGAGAGACCATGGGCTAACGTGCCCCATATATTAGGCTATAAATCCGCCTCTGGAGACTAGTTATGTATTGTTTCTTAATATTTCACACAAACTCTCAGAGAGATTGTCTTAGCTTACATGATTCTTCTTCCGTATAAATAACCCTTCGCTATGTTTAACTCTTTCTCGTTCAGCTCAAAATTACTATATTTCATATAACTTTCAACTGAGGGAGGCTCTCCAGACTAAAGAGGTCTAATCATTCTAGATAGCTGAAACTGAAATATGTGTTATGTATAGGTTTCTATCAGTACAAAAACTGGTCCGAAGTTGTACCACTAAGAAGCCAATTCATCACGTCCAACATTTCGATTGGTAAGATCACTCAAACATCTTGTATCTGTGACTAAAATCATCTTAATGATCTAACTGAAAAGCTATGCGAAAGATAATGATAGAAGTTTTGACTAAGGCAAGAAAGGATCTGCCTTTGTCATTGCTAAGAACTCTAGAAGAAATGTGGAAAGGAGAATGGTTATCAACAAAAACTCATAGTGAAATTCGACTCAGTAAAGAGTTGGATTCATCAAACAACATAAACCATAACATAGTAATGTGCATAGTGAAGTTTAAAGTTGATGGAGCTTAGGCTACTACCAGCACTAAACTGTTGAGTTCTTACAGTCTAAGTATATAAGCTTTGGACATATGTTATATTCTCTTTCATATCAACAACAACAACAGCAACCCAGTATAATCCCACTAATGGAGTCTGGGGAGGGTAGTGTGTACGCAGACCTTACCCCTACCCTAGGGTAGAGAGGCTGTTTCCGATAGACCCTCGGCATCCCTACCTCCAAGAACTCCCCACCTTGCTTTTTGGGTAACTCGAACTCACAACCTTTTGATTGGAAGTGGAGGGTGCTCACCACTAGAGCAACCCACTCTTGTCAAAAGCTGCCCTGCAACTGCACCACATTCTTATCCCCGAGAACAACAAATGGCTCTGATTTTAGAGTTTGTGACAAAGTATGGAGCAGATCGTTCAATGCTTTCCAGTTTGTAAAGAGTGACACGAACAGCATAAAAGTTTTGAGAGAGTGGAACATATGCCAGTAAGTTTTGTGACAGAGTGAAGCTCCAGAACAATAGATCTAGTTGGGAAGATGTAGGAGTTGAGAGGACATAGAAAGCCTAGAAACTGTTGGAACTAAAACAGCTCAAAGATACTCTTAACACGTCCGTTTTGGGTCAAGCAAGTACGATTTTCCCCAAAAGTTCTTACACTATTAAGAGTATCTAATACCTTATAAGTAGATTCTTTTTCTTTTCTCCTTTCCATGTATAACTTTGTTCACACACGCAACAAAAACAATGTCTGTTCGTTATGATGTACTAAGATCTAATCATCAAAAACATGTTTTTCAGTGTTTGGTTTACTTTGAGATTCGAAAATGTTCTCTCTCAAGGAAAATATTTTTCATTAAAATGAGGAAAATGACTATCTTCATTTGTGGATGAGAAACTCATTTTCCTTTAAAAAATATCCCAACTCATGATCAATTCCACTTGTTATTATCAACAATTCAAGACATACTGTTCAACATTTAATAATTCTCAAATATCTAAACAAGACATTATTCTCATACCATGTATTGCATTAAAAGTAAGCCTTTACATTTCTTTTCAATCTTTTCTTTAGCCAAAGATCTATCGGATACAGCCTCTCGACCCTCCCAGGATAGGAGCAAACTTCATAATTCGATTATATTATGACATAGACAACACCCAATTTTCATAATTCGTTTGATCTATAACTTCATCAATGAGAAAAAAGAAACCCCAAAGAAAAAAAAAAACAGGTAGTAGTACTATTTAAGCAACTTCAAAATAGAGATGGAAATGCAAACCATGATGTGCATATACATAGCCATGTCGCCATGTGTAAATATGATCCCCACGCATAAGCTCCTCTTTCTTGATCTGATTGGAAATCACATTCCCCATCTTGTTTCTTCTTTCTCCTCTCTCGCCCTAAACTTAGCTGAATACAAAAAAGCAACAGGAGATATATTGAATCACATTATTACAGCAGTAAAAACACAAAGAAGAATATACCTGCAGATTCTTAACTTTTACTGAAGAAATCATATTAGGTATGATTCCATTAGCCAAGAGCCACTACTATTAGCACTTTAAACTTTTGCCAAGAGACCTTTCACATTGTTAAGTCTTTCTCACTAGCTTTAGCACATTATCTATTTCTTTATTCAGTAGTATATATAAGACTTAACTAAAAATATTGTTAATTAAACTCTCCTTATTAGGGTAGGTAGGGTCAAAGAAAGACAAGAAATATATACTAATTCCTAGCTAGTCTTCTTAGCTTTCTCTTAAATCTTGTTTCTTAATTTCCTCTTTTGTTTGCAAAGCATTATTTCAAATCCATAACACACTGTTATTTGCGTTGAAGTAAATGATATCGAAAAGATATTAAATAAAATCAAATTAGTTATTAAACTCTTAGCAAAAGCAGTCAAAATCACATGTACAGTTCATTTTGTGGTAGTAATAACGACGATTTATTGGGTACATGCATCAGTCATCATCTTAACACGTAAGTCAAGTTGTCTTCTACTTAACCAAATTTTGATACAGTATTTGCACCTCTTTTACTAGATTCGACAGAATCCATAGCTCCCATGTATTGGACACTTTTTCTATTCAAAGGAGCATATTCCTATCGAGTAGGCCAACTAAAAGGGATAAAACATCCCCATACTAAGAGATTTTCTATGTTCCAAACTCGAATTTAAGACTTCTAATTAAAGCTGAAGTCGTTATCTTACCACTAATGCATGATTGCATGGTGCAAAAATATATGTTTAATTTTATGATACTAAGATTTTGACTTTGATTTTTTAAATATTGTTATACTATTTGATGATGTAGTCATTTAACGTTTAGGCATATATAACTAGTCAACTTGTCGTAAAAAGTTTGTACAACTCAATTTCATGATATACCCATTTGTAAAATTCACTTTCATAATATACCTAATAAGTTTTGAAATTACATCAAATATCCCAAATTTATTATACGTTATACCTCCATATATTCTGAAATATATTACAGTATTCTACTTTGGAATACAATCCAAACCTAACTTACCACAATATTTTAATTTGGAATACATTATATAAACATAACATACCATAATATTCTAACTTATAACATACTAATATTCAACCAAACATATACCACAATATTTTAACTAAACATATCACAACACTCTAATTTGGAATACATTATTCAAATTAAACATATCACAATATTCTAATTTGGTTTGGAATAAAATATTCAAATTAAACACACCACAATATTTGAATTATATACTACAATATTTTAATTTGAGATACAATATTCAAACCAAACAGTATCCAAATCAAACATACAATAATTTTCTAATTTGGAATATAATATTCAAACTAAACATGCTACAATATTCTAATTTGGAATGCAAAAACCAAACTAAACATACCATAATATTTTAATTTGGAATATATAATATTTTATTTTGGAATACAGTAGGTATACATGGTAAAATAAATTTATAAAGTAGGTATATAGGAAAGAATGAATTTATAAAGTAAGTATACATAATAAAATAAATATTTTAATTATATATAGTTTTAGCTGGTATTTTCAATGGGCATGTAGATTATCCATTTTCTAAAGCACAATGAAGATGAATTGAATCTGGACAGACCGACCTTGGTTGCCTTATTGAGTCTATGATTTGACCCTTTTCGCCAGGGTCTTTAAGAACTATCAAAAGTTTGAGTTCACAATAATTCGTTAAATATCTAATATCTCTAATAAAAAAAATTGATGATTTGAATCGATTAAATAAGGGAAAATGCATAATTATGCCCCTATCCTATACCCAAAGTTCCAATTATACACTTTTTCTTCACGGAAATTCTAGTACCCCCTAAACTATTTTTTACTTTAATATCTTGGACCTTTTTGTGCTGAGCTGGACTAGAACGTGAACACACCTTCCCCAAGCGCGTAGTAAATTAAATAAAAAGGCTTTAGCCTATAAAAAATGGACACGTGTCATTCTCAAAGCTGATTTGGAAGACCCCTTCTTCTAAACATAAAACGTTCTTCTTTCCCATTATACCGGCCATTTTCAAGACCTTTGAAGGTGTGTTTTGACTTCCAATTTTCTTTGGTTTGAAGTAGTAAGTGAATTTTTTGTGTAAATTCCTCCGTTTGACTCTTTTTTCTATTAAGGGTTTTTTAATTTCTTCTCCAGTTTCGGTCTATGAAATCTTAGGGTTAGGAATGGCAATTACCAAGTTGAATAAATTGTACATGGACGAAGATGATCCAATGCTCAATGCCGAAGTGCGATGCAAACATGGTATTTTGCTACAAATGTAAACTTCTTGGCCAGATCGAAATCCCGGAAGACGATTTTGGTCTTGTCCTCACTATGAGGTATGTGTTCATGGTCTAAGCCTATAGATTAACTTGAAAATTAATGTTGATTGGGTCGTTATTGAATTCTTTAAATTTCAGGCCACAAATTACAAGTTTTTCAAATGGAGAGACAACGAAAGAGTTGATGAAAGATCAAAGCTTATTTTTCCAAGATTGGTAAACAAAATCAAAGAGTTAGAAGAAAATTACGACCGTCTTAAGCTGCATTTGGGTGAGCTTGAAGATTCAAAACAGAATGTTGATTTTAAAGAGAAGAGTATGAAGGAAAAAAATAGAAGGAACTTGTGTAGAAATTCATTTGGTGTATTATGATTTTTGTAGTTGTTGTGTTTGTTAGCAGCTTCATCCAAGCTAGCAACTTGAAGAAAAATCAAATGGAGTTGCCATAGTAGCTGGTTGTTGTAGTAATATAAGATAATTTTGGTTGTTGTCGTAATAGAAGATCATTTTGTTATTGATGTCGGATAGGGTAAGTTAAATGTGGTTTGGTTGTGTACTTAATTTTGGTATTGTAATGAAACATCATTTTGGTATTGTATTAGAATGAAACATCATTTTGGTATCATGGTATCAATTTCTATTGACAAATGTGATGTTGTTGCTGTTTAAGCAAATTTTGGGGAAAAAAAAAGAAGAAGTCTCTTGGAAGCAGCTGGTTAGCAACACTAGCTGCTTAGCAACACTGCCCACTGTCGCGCCCCCTTTTTTTCCTCTTCACATCGGGAAATCGGGTTTATGACATTTAGTATGGACAACTCATTCCTTTTGGGAACAGGGTTTGCATTTTGAAGAGTCGCAACCTAATGATTTAAGGCGCATTAGGACACCTATAGAGTTCATTTCTAACTATATTTTGTAACCAAAGATAGGGTAATGGCTTGAAATTATCTTGAGGAGAAGGTGTTAGACACCCCTCATGATCCACTAGTGTGGTTCCTGGCCAGACAGTTTTATGAATTTGTACAATTAGCAAATAGGCAAGTATTGACTCAAATAGTAGGGGACTTAAGTTTGAATGCACATATGTAAGAAAACAACTAAGAAAAGGTGAGAAAAAGTTATAATTTAAACATACTTGTAAAAGGGAAGGGGAGTATTAGGTTTGTTTGTAATATGGATTACGTCAATGCAATACCCGATATGACACTCCTCAAAAGAGGGGCTACACGTGGTATTAATGCACCGGTCATCATATTCATATCTACCATTTCCCACCCCGTAAAGGTAATTGGAGAGATGATTGGTCTCGACTCTTATTGCATGCTGCTACCCGTCCCTTCCTATCAGTCCCGGAGGAATTTTAGGACTCCTATTCCTAAAAGAAGGAGGTTCTAGGCAGAACTCAGATTTAAAGGTAAAAAATACTAAAGCGACATACAAAACATGTAAGACTGCAATTAAGGGAAAACATGTAGGCAGATAGAAGGCTCAGTTATACCTCCACAAATAATGCACATAGACAGCATGACTTATACACAGTCAAGGTCTGAATTTAAAATACTAAAGTAGGGTGTTTAAGTTGTGGAAGCAGAACCAAATTTATTACATGACTCAGATAAGAAGTCCGAATCAGGTCTGTCTGCTGGTTGTAGCAGTTGATAATTAAACAATGACATTTCAATTTTTGTTCCAATTATTACCTAAGGCCTGCCTAGGCGTAATAGTGATGTCCTATGAGCATGATATCTATATTGATTAGGAATGCAGTAAAACAGTGATCAATTTTAAACGGACAACTTGAGATCCTATAGACATGCTTTCTAACGGTATTAATTTAAGGAAGTGTTTGAAAACTTATTAAAGAGGCGACAGATTAATTGACTAATCCAATTCAGAATAAACAACGTGCATTAAACTGCTTCTCCAACTAGACTGGTTTTAAGTTCTATAAGCATGATTTCTATTATAACTAATTTTAATTCCTACAGGCATGGTATCTAGTATTAAAAGCTGACTTTGGACTTATAGGCATGATTTCTAGGGAGACGAATTTGAATACATGCTGCAATGAAAATTGAGCTTCAATTACTTTACACCCTATAGGCATGATAACTAATTATAAAGCTGATTTTAACCTTATAGGCATGATCTCTATTATTAAATCCATTTAGATCCTATAGACATGGTTTCTAATTGTGTGAAAGTAAAGCATGCAGAATTTATTTTAAACCAAAGCAGATCCTATAGGCATATTATTTAATAGATCGTATTTTGAATCAAAATAGACCCTATATGCATGTTATCTACCCAATTTACCCACAATACACAACTACCCACCCTTTTTCACTAATCACCCCAATATTTGTTTACAAATTATTGCAGACCAAATGATTGAATTACCTTAAAAAAAATACAAACATAAGAAGTTACAACCATAGGAAGCCTGATTCTGACTTCCTCTATGAGTTATGGAATAAACCACCTCAAATGCCAATGTCATACCAAAGCCTTTCTCATATCTGGGTGTGTCAGAGTTCCCTAAGGACCTCAAGGGATCCCGGACAGTGCTCACACCCAGATTTTGCATAACCAAACAGAGTAAGTGTAGTGTGGAAGAGCCATCCCTTATGTGTCCAGGTTCAGAGGGAGCTCAAGGGTTCCAAAGCAAGGCTCACACAAAAGGGGCAGAGCCAAGATTCTAAGAGTATAGTAGAAGTGCAGAAAACATGTTGAAAGGGATTTGTTTTAAAGAAAAGCTGGACTGATGAAAGCAGTCAGTAACATAGGTGATTGAAATCAATTGTAGTAGCAAACAACACTCAAACACACAGAATCAGTAGTCACACAAAAGGGTCAAGGGACTTGGGGACACACAGACATTTGTCTGTAAACACATAACCCTAGCAGGGGTCTGGTTTAGACATGCACAACAATAGTTGATGCTAACATAATCTCAAACCAGCAAGAAATAAACACATGGAAGGGATAGGG